TACTTTCTTTGGCCTTGCAAACTTGACAGATTAGATCACAGAGAAGAAGGTGAAATAAACAGGTCACTGCATTACCGTTATCTAAACTCTGTGTGCTCAGAAGGCTTACTTCGTGATGGTTATTTTTTATGAGAACTCTAGAGCAAATATTACACTTCTAACACATTTCAAGCATATATGGTGTGTTGTCTTTTCAAAGACAGTCAAGAATTCAGACATCAATGGAAATGTAGAAGGGTGAGTAGAATGTGAAACCAATTTGCGGGGAGGGCAATAAAGCAGCTGGGAGAGCTGACAGTAAGAAGGACTCCCATGGCACCAGGACAAGAAAGGAAAACCAGCATCATCTTTCCTGCTCCCCTGGAGCTTCTCAGTGTGCAGTGGCCATTCCCCCTGCACATTGTGGAAACACAACATGTAAGTTTAGACCGCAAGACCTAAGTTCTCACATGAAGACAATCTCATTCCAGTGTCTGCAAAGACTGCAAATCTGCGTGCCGTGGGTGATCTGAGACCAGCGTTGCGTGCGTGCGTGCGTGTGTGCGTGTGTGTGTGTGTATACCGAGCCACCATTCACTGCCAAACAGCTTTTTCCTAGTGCTTATTTTTCTTGAACATGTTTGGACTGTTATAATACTGTTCTCCTCCCTTTGAAAATACGTACTCTGCAGGTGCCTGAAATAATATACTCCCAGCAACTGCAGTTTTGTCCAAGTAAAGGTTATTTCATTCAGTCTAAACTCAATGGGAATCTGTTGCTTAACAAGGAAATTCCAAACATTTTATAAACTCCTTGAGGATAGCAGCCATGTCATATATGACTTTGGTACCTCCTTCCTCCTGGACTCATTGTCCACCTTCTCATGCAGTGTTTGTAATAAGTGACTCGAATTGTTAACAATATACTCTCTGCCTTTCTTTGAGACAGAAATGTCATTTTACTATGTCTCTGCATGATTCCTGTCAGGGTCATTGTAAATAATTTCTCCTAAGGCTTCTTTTTCAGTCTGCAGATCATTTTTACAGGCTTTTCACAGAACAGCTGAAAGGTTTTAAGTTAAAGAAGGTTGCTTCAAATACAAGTGACTAACTTAGGTTTCATTTACCTCAAGGAATATTTCAACATATAAATTTGCAGATAAATCCTGGGAGTGTCAAATTACAAAATCAAGAGAATGTAAGTTCTTTGGGCGTTGATCTGCTATAGTCAGGTATGTGTGTATGAGAGAAAAAAGAGAGAGATTTTTTGAATGAAATAGTAAAACCACTGCTGGCACTACTTCACCTGGTTTTTCATAATTTCAAGAAGCTAGAAACTGAAAACCAGGCTTGTTAAAGAGTTACTGTTGATACATCTTATCTATTCTTTTACAAATCTTTAAGATTTCACAATATTCCTGTTTTCAAGAACTTGAAATATTCTGTGAGCAATGATTAATTAACTGTTTTTTAATGTAAAACGTAATGTATATTCATTGTAGATTGAAAAGATACTTAAAGTGACAGAAAGATAAAAATCATTCATTATCTATTAATATTTGGTGAACATTATTAATACGTGAACACGTTTCAATTTTTTTCCTAGGTACATGTTTTTACAGAACGGACTCGTGCTATATAAATTATTTTATAACTTTTTTTCATTTTTATGTTTAAAGTTATATCGTGAACGTGAAAAGAAACTTGTAAAGATTATGGCATGTCCTAGTACTGCACAGTTTTAAGAACGCCATCTCTGGTATGGTGCGTGCGCTTCGGTAGGAAAAGAAACGTCTTAGTGGGCTGTACTGACTTACTCTCCGACCAAGAGACCTCTTCGTTTGCCCTTGGCGTCCTGAGCCTAGCCAGACTGCGAGCTCGTGGCAGTGGATGGAGGGCGTTCAGGGTGACTGTGAGCACGAGCTGCCCGCGCGGTCCACACTTCCCCTGGGCAAGTCCCACTGGCCCCAGCCCGAGGGCAAGAGGGCAGTTCGCGTTGCGCACAGCCGGGTCCGAGACGTTATCCCCGCCCCGGGGCTGGCGCCACTCTCGGACGCTGGGGTGAGATAAAGTCGGGCAAGGTTCTGCAACTCCAAACCAGGGAGGCGCAGCACCCAAACCAGCGCCTTTGCCGGGTCTCCAGCCTTGTTTGTTCCGACTGTTTAAACTGTTTCAAAGCGCTTGAACCTGAAAGACCTTCGGCAAACAACGCCTAATCTCTCGGGCGGAGAGCGTTACTTTTATTTGCGAGGAGGGCAAAAGGAGCGCGGAGACCTGGTGGCTCGGGGCAGTCCTCCTACGGGTACCCCACCCGTCCGCGGGCGTCCACCGCCGCCCCCTGGGACCCCAGCCCGAAGCCCTTTCCTGCCCCGGCACTGCGAGGCTCTTGCGTCAGGCCGAGCGGGGGTGGGGGATTTTCAGCGGCACTGCCCGCGCGGCCTGTCTGGGAAGGACAGGCCTGGGCTCTTGCCCCGCCCTCGGGGGGCGGGAGGCGTGGCGGTGCCGGAGCCCAGCAGGCGACTAGGGCCTTGTCGCCAAGAAGCGAGTGCCGGGGAGCCCGTACGAGTCGCCGCCGTCCGTACCTCCTGATCCGCGCCGCGCCTGGGCAGCCGGGCAGGACCGCCGTCGGGGAGCCTTAGAGCACCGTCCCCAGCTCAGCATGATGGACTTGGAGCTGCCGCCGCCGGGACTGCCGTCCCAGCAGGTGCTGCCCCAGCCCTCTCGGTCCCATTGTAGTATCAGGACGGGGGCAGGGGCGCGAGGGAGTTGCGGTCCGGGGGGGACAGCAGCCACTGGCTTCTCATCCCGTCTGTGGCCGGGGCCAGAACTGCAGCGGCCACTCACTGGAGCCCTTGCGTTTGCGCCGGGGTGGGGCGGAGTGGAGGAGTAGGGGCCCAAGGGGCCGCGAGGGTAGTGGGGGCGCGCCCGAGTGGTCACATCGGCAAGGTCCCCGCCGTCCCAGAGGGCGACTGGGTGGGGGATTTGGAGGATATACCCGCATGCGTGGGGCGAACGGGGCGTCTCTTGTTGCGTCCCAGGCCGCCAGGTTGGAACGCCGGAGTCCATCCAGCCCCCCCATTTTTAAGCGGCCCCCAAGGGGCAGGAGGGGGCGGACACTGGCGGTCTGAGCCGGCGCGGGCCGGCACTTCCGGGGCAGAGCGGTTCCCCCGCCTGGGAGCCGGCAAGAATGTGCCTAGTCACGGGGCCGCTCGTGGGGGAGCTGAGGTCTCCTCCGACCTGGGACCCGGAGCCCCTTCCCTGCCATCGCTGTCTCCTGCCCCACAGTTGCACGAGTAGTTTGGTTACTCCGCTGGGGCTGCTACAGATGATTCCTGTGCCCCCTGCTTTAAAAGAAAGACAGTACATCAGAGTTTGAAGTAAGGAAAGGTTTATTGATGAGAAGGCCTAGCTTGAGAAGATGGGAGAATTCTCAAAGCCATTCAGGCGTCTTTCACTGTCAAGGGAAGGGAGGAGGGGGGCGGGTGTATACGGGTAGGCACCCAAAGGTGTCCAGGGAAGACGGCAAAATTTCTAAATCCCTTTGCTCCTGGTGGACCCCTGCTAATTAAACCGAGTCTAGTTCTGGAGTCATTACTCTGTGCATATTTCCCTACCTCTTCTGCTGATAAAGGGGTTCCTCAAGCAGAATTTCTCTAGTTAATTATGTTTATGGCTGAAGGCAATCAGAGAGAGTGGAAGCATTCCACTGTTACAGGGTAAGTCCATCCATGGGATCTCTGTTTTAAGCATCTTGGCCGGATGCCTAAAGGTAGGGGGCAGAAGAGGTCCCCAAGTGCCCAGTGAGCTAGGACGCCCCCACGTGCAGCAACTAAACCGGGCCTCGCACCAGGGTAAAGTCTCGATTGGAAGATCTCTCGTCGGCTACCGACGCCGGGGAAGAGCGGGTGGGGCGGGGACTCTGCAGCTGAAGTCGGCCGCGCCCCGACCTTCTCCATCCTTCCGCGGTTCCTCCGGTGGCGCACGCTCAGTGCGTGGACACGGTCTCAGCCTCGGTGACAGTGGCCGGTTGGCTGTCACGGCGGCCCTCGGTTGGCCCTTTCCTGCTTTGTAGCGTGCAAACCTTGCCGCGCTGGGGCCAAGGGACAAGTTGGAGCTGTTGATCTGTTGCGCAATTGTTATTTTTCCCCAGGGCGGCTTTGTCTTTGGATTTAGCATTTCAGAATTGCAATTCCAACATGTGTAAGGCAGGATGTTCAGTTTTGTGCTGTCAAGGGTAAGAGTTGCGAGTGTAGATTAGAATTTCTGTTGCTTTTAGGCTGTTACTAAATTTTTGGCTTTCGTATATTATTTCTCCCTTGGGTGTTTTATATAGTTTTCCTTTTCTGTTTGAGAATTTGCCTCAATTTCTTAGCACACTGCTCTTTTTGTAAGGGCCGAGGATGGGACACCTGTGTTTCATAATGCTTTGCTATAAAGTTCTGTAAATTGTTTAAAAAGTGAAAATAAGTTTCTGTTCATACTTCGTAGAGACTTTTAAAGGAGTACATATTTATGTTTCCTTTTTGTGGGGGGTAATTGGGTACTTAGGGAAAAAATTGGTTCAAGGAAATGTGTAACTTAAGTACAGTAAGTATGCTTATGCTCTTAAAACCTAATGTTTTAGACTGATTCTGAAGATCTAAAGTGAGATTTAAAGTTATTGACCATGTATTGTGCTTTTTTTCTCCCTTAAAATTGTTTGCCTTGAACTTCCCCCCAGTAATGATTGGGAGCGTATTCCCTTGGTTCCCACTGGTATGAAAAAGTATATTTTCAGGTTTAGGCTGCTGTTAAAGAGTAATCTATATGATGCTAATGGACTTTAGTTTTCCTAAATTCAGGAATTGTGGCCTGGAACCCTCCGTTTTTTAATTTTTCTCTTTACTGTGTAATTTAACATTCTATATATACAGAAGTGCATAAAGCTTATATACTGATTTCCCATTTAAATGTGAATTTTCTAATTATGTTTGATAAGGTAATTCCTTTTCCACCTTTGTAATCAGGTATCAATTAGCATATTTAGAGATTATGAAAAAAGATAATGGAGTAAAATTTAGAATCAATTTCATGTCTTCAACAGATTCATATTAAGTCATTGTTTTAGTCTAGGAAGATTTGAACAAAAAGTCAAAGTGGATTCTGACCTTTTGTCAACGAAACTCCAGGTATGATGTGGTTGGTATTAGGACGTGGTTTTTCATCCTCTGTGCGGAGGTGTTGATGAACAGGTTGGTAAGGAGAGCCTTAGATTCCTTATCTCCAATAGGTGGAAGGAACCATCTGTTACTGTTTTCAATGATGTCTTAGAAAGATCAAGGACTTTTGTGTGTGAGGGGTGAAAATGATCTTGGACAAGACCGATAAGATTATTTTTAAAAGAAAAACGACAGGCTTCTCATCTCCTAAATGAATGTTAACCAGAGAACAACTTGACTCTTTAGATGTCAAGTTTAGAAAAGTCTCTTGAGAGATTGTGGAAGCAGTATGAAGGAAAATAAATATACAACCCATATCAGTCTTTCTGCATTAAGAATAACTTGGGCCATCTAGGAATCTTTCTTTTTTGTTAGCTTGGGTTTTTATAAACAATGCCGGGGGAAACAAAAACCTGTCTGTCTTTAGGATTACCAGTACGAGTTGGAAGCCAAATACATTATTTTTCTTAATATTTACTTTTTATTCAGGATGAATTATATTTACAGAGCTGCATGAAAAAAGGAACCCTGTATAAACTATAGGCATTTTTTTATCCCCCTGGGAATATCTTGTCTATTGGCAGAACACAATTATTTAAAGGGATTTTTGTATAAATAATATTTCCTCTTTAATTTTTGCTTGATCTGGGGTTGACTGTTCAGCGTAGACTTGGATGCAGGAAGAATTTGGCACTAAGATGATAATAGATGAGTTATTGGCCACTTCCTTGCTTGCTAGGCCGTGTGATAATTGCTTCACATGCATAATTTCACAGTGACCCCATGGGAAATACTATTATCTCCAGCCTCCAGGTGAGAAAGGAGGCATACAGAGGCCAAGAGGTAAGTTTAAAAGTGACCCAACAATTGAACAGTGTGGGCGGGATTCACATCTAAGTGGTCTGACTCCCATAGCTCTTAATCACCACTTTCAAGCTGGACCAGGACTAGTTAAGCTTTGAACAGGGGAGAAAACTCACACTTTAAGACAAACTGGAGAAAAGAGAGACAGGAATGAAAGAGATTAACCCTTTCCACTTGTCAAGAAATTCTGGTAGCTGTGTACGTGAGATGGGAGGTGGACCTTCTTCCACAGAGAGAAATAAACCTGCCCATGGAGTTACCACAGAGGTTAGCTTTTAAGGAAGACACAGTCCTCAAAGGGGTTAATTTAATAATAATAACTTAATAGTTTTTAAGATTTCTGGGATTTCAGTAGAGTCCAAGATCCTGGCTCATGTTTTTCACGGACAGTATTTCTTTTTTTTTTTTTAATGAAATCTCTTAACTACTGGGGTCTTTGTTCACTTTTGTTTGCCTTGTTAGAATATTCTCCTGTTCCATTGGCTCTTTTCCTTTTGAAGTTGTGGTCCAAAGTAAGTTTGGTAGTGAGGATATATACGTATATATACAGGATTAAACCAGGTTGAAAGAAATTGAGTAGAATAGAGAGAATTTGAGTTGAAAACAACTAGAACAGTTAAACACTAATCTCCTGTCTTGGCATTTATGAAACTGAAGAAATGATAAAGGCTCACATCTTTCTAATTGAAGATTACTTAGACTTTTGCCAATAGTACATTTCAAAATTAAATACTTTATTTCCTAGTCCTTATTGTTAAACAAATTGTTTTGAGAATTATTGTCTTACTTGTCTGAATCAAGGATCCTGCACAATTTTTAGGATCTAGTAGATGATTTGCCTAAAATTTGGTCTGGGTAAAGCCAGGGTGTTTAAATGCCTGGCCCCATCACTCCTAAAAGTTTGCTAAAAATCTGTTGTATACAACGGTAGAGTAGGAACAGGTTTACTGGAAGTGGTATTTAACCTGCTTTCTTCATCTATAGCTGTGTGTTTAAGTTTACCATAAAATGGAGACTAGAGTTTATATTTTGATAATATGATTTCTAGGAGTTACTAAAATGTCATGACCGCCTGCTTTTAAATATGCTCCAACAAACATTTATTAAAAGAGCTCTAAACTGTAGGCCAAAACTGCTTCAATTGCTAGTGGTATGTCCTCTGGAAGTAAGCGCAAAAATATGTTCAAGTGTATAATTCCTGAATGATATTAGAAAAATATAAATGGTATTCTTACACCAGCCCTTCCCTCCTCCCCCCACCCCAAAACAAAACAAGACTGCTAAACCAAATCCCACTCTAGGTTCCTAAAGTTGACATTTTTTCTATATCACCCTGCCACAATAAATATAACTATTAGTATTAGGAATTTTAGGAACTCTGAGGGTGGGAAGCGCTTTTAACCATTTATTTGCATAGGATATGTCCTGTAATACTCATTTGTCACAAAGCCTCATATATGAGGTATTTTTGTATGTGAGAGCATGTAAGTTTTAGTTCATCCAAATTCTGGTGGCGGTAAAGACAAACCCAAGGCCTAGGGAAGATTCAGAGCACCAGGCCCGTCTTTCAGAGGCCCCATTGATAATTAATTCCTGAGAACCATTATAATCCATGGACAGCTGTATTCTGAATAATTAAATATATATTTATATATAAATATATATATAAAGTGTATAGTTATAGATAAATGTAGTATGCAATTCTAAGTAGTCAGTTCTTTCTCACAAGCTTGGAAATTGAGACTCTGAGCATACTACAGAGATCCAGACTCTCCATTGTTTTTGTTTTTGTTTTTTCCAAAGTAAAGAAGAAAAATGTCAGATCGTTTTGGCATTGAAGACTCCTTCTGAGTTTGAGTTTTTATTTTCTGCATTAGGCAGTTCTCTTTCTTGGTCTTTTAAAACTTCTGAATGCTTGTCTTATCTGTGTATCTTTTTTTTTTCCTCACTACAACTAAATGGTAAGTACTTTGAGAACGGGGCATAGAATTTAGGTTTCTCTCTATTTTTTTTAACAGCTTCATGACATAATTCAAATACCATATAGTCCACCCCTTTATAGCAGACAGTTCAATGATTTAGTGTATTCACAGCAGTACAGCCGTTACCACACTCAAATCTAAAACATGTTCATAACCCTAAAAAGAACCCCATACCCACTGCAGTCATTCCACAATTCTAACTTTCTTAGTCCCTGCTAACCACTCATGTATTTTCTATCTCTACAAATTTGTCTGTTCTGGATATTTCATGTAAATAGAATCCTGCCACACGTGGTTTTCTGTGACTGGCTTCTTTCACTTAACATAATGTGCATAAGGTTTGACCATGTGGTAGCATGTCTCAGGTCTTATTCCTTTTGTTGCTGAACACTTCCATTGTATGGATACACAAAATTTAATTTATCCACTCATTAGTTGATGGATATTTGGGTTGTTTGCACTTCGTATATTTCTTTTTTTCCCTACAGCAGTGGTTTGCTGTCTATCAGAATCACCATCAGTAATTGAAAATACTGCCGCTCAAGCCATATTCCTCATTAAACCAAAGCCTCTGGGGGTGGGACCCAGGCCACAGGTTTTTTGTTTGTTTGTTTGTTTTGAGCTTCTGAAGGGATTCCAGGGTGCATCCAGGTTTGAAAACTAGTGCCCCAGAGCAGCAGTCCCCAGCCTTTTTGGCCCCAGGGACCAGTTTCGTGGAAGACAGTTTTTCCACGCACAGCGGCACGGTGGGACAGGAGGCAGAGCTCAGGCGGTACTGCGAGCAAAGCGTCGCCCCCCACCCCCCCACCTGTGCCTGCCGCTCACTACCTGCTGTGTGGCCCACTTCCTCACAGGCCACAGATCTATACTGATCCACAGCCCTGGGGCAGGGCGAGGGGGGGGGGGGCCGAGGTAGGGGGTTGGGGGGTGGAGTTGTGGTGGTTAGGGACCCCTGCCCTTGAGAGCCTAGCTCAGTGCTTGGTAGCTGTTGATACCTAGTGAGTTAGAAAATCTGGTTAGGATGTCCTACTGAAATCATGAAGGGAAGTGTTTTTATATTTGTTCACTGACCTTCACAGCCTTAAGATCAACACCTAAACCTGAGAACTGTGTTTTAAGTGCCTGGTCAATGTTTGACATTCAGTAAATACAACTTGAGCTCTTTAATCCCTCATGGGGATTTGAGTGATAATTTTTTTTATCAAAAGATTTGCTCTGAGTCAGTAGAATTTTTTCATGTTTTGTCAGGAATGTGGCCTGTGATAACCTGTAGCCTAATTATTTGGGAATAGCATAGAAAAGGCAATGAGGACAGGGGCTTGGGATAGGTGGTACAGACCCTGAAGCTGGGATGAACTTGGCCCTACCCTAGGAAGCTCTCTGCTCTGCATTTCTGAGCCTCATTATCTTCCCCCATTAAAAGAAAGAAAAAGAAAAAACAAACAATAACAGAAACACAGCCTTAGATCTGCGAGGCATCTTTTAGCAACTCCATTTTTTGATTCTCTGTATCTGCCTGGAAAAGTCGACCTTATATTGTGACCACAGTGACTACCATTTGTACTCCCCTGAATGGCTTTCTGGTTTACATATTTGGAAAGTGGGGCTAACTTCTGAATTATTTTTGAGAAGGAAAGAGGGAGAAAGGGAGGGAGGGGAGACGTGAGGCACAGCAGTCCCGTTCGAGGGAACCGAGGGTGTGGTTCTGCGCTTTCCGAAGCTGGCCTAGCCCCACCTTGCCGATGGGGTGGGGACAGGCCCCGAAGGGAGTGGCACACCCCTATGCCAGCCAGGACTTTCTCCAGCGTTGCCAAGCAGAGCTTGTGCAGCCCAACTCCGGTTTGCCCCCGACCATCCTCCCATTGGAGGGGTATATTTAGTCTCCCCTGGGAGCTGCCTGCTTTTCTGACTAGTCATCAGTAGTTTTGAATTCTGTTAACCCATATTCTCCTATTGCTTCAAGATGTAAAAAACAGTATTCTGTTCCTTCACTTGTTCTTACGAGTTTTGTGCTCAAAGGTGGGCATACTACATGTTTACCTTGAAACAGAAGGATTTCAATGATAACATTTAGGTTCCATACAATGTGTGCTTGCATTTCAGTGAATCCTTCTCCCTGTTAAATGTCCTTCCCCTTTTTCGCTGGAATGTAGCTGACATTCGGGGCGGGCTAGTACCATCTCCCCTCGTACAGTCCAAAGTCTGTGTGAGAGGCAGCGCTGACAGTATCAACTGGGTATGTATGTGGCCTACTGATAGAGTATGGAATTTTGCTTTACTCCCAACTTGACAGGCTTTTGTTTGCTCTGCTTTAGCACAAAATTATGCCATCACACACGGATACAGAACACAGCTTATTCCCACTCTAGGGGAGTAAAATAAAGGGGAACATGATCATCATGCCTTGTTACCTTCTGTGACCAGAATAGGAACAGAGGTATGACTTATGGAACTAAACTACTTCAGCTTGAAAGCTGACAGAGAACTAGTATTTTTTGCTGGTTTGTTTTACAGCATCGGGAGTCTTGCTGTTGTGTGTAGAAGGTATTGAGGAACCATCAAATTTTCGGACCTAGGAGAGAAAAATTTTTTTTAGTCATTAAAATCCTGGTAATGAAAACCACCAAAAATTAGAAGTCTTTTTTACTTGCAATGGGGGGAAAAAAATGCAAAAAGTTGTTTTTGTTCTTGGTGATTCTCAATGAAACAATTAAAATCTACATCAAGGACCCAACCCCAAAGGCAGGGCTGCTTTACTTTGTGCTGGCTGGCCCCCTTCCCCCCACCCCACCCCACGTTCTCTTCTTCCACTGGTACCCACGCCGAGACCAGGCCAAACGTGCTGTGGGTTCAGGGTCTTTTACTCCCCCAGAGACAGAGGCTCACCCGCTACTAGAAATTTCTTTACCAAGCCTCATGTTTGGCAGAATCCTTGAGGCAGTGGATTGAAAGTGAGGATGGTGACTCCAAAATGGGAGATTCCAGGTTACATTTCAC